CAGTGGGAGGAGTAGTGCCATGTCATTGGTGTCAGTGGAAGGAGTAGTGCCCCATCACTGATGTCAGTGGGATGAATAGTGCCCCATTGTTGGTATCAGTGGGAGGAATAGTGCCCCATCACTGGTGTCAGTGGGAGGAATAGTGCCCCATTGTTGGTATCAGTGGGATGAATAGTGCCCCATCGTTGGTATCAGTGGGAGGAATAGTGCCCCATCACTGATGTCAGTGGGAGGAATAGTGCCCCATCACTGGTGTCAGTGGGAGGAATAGTGCCCCATCACTGATGTCAGTGGGATGCATAGTGCCCCATCGTTGGTATCAGTGGGAGGAATAGTGCCCCATCGTTGGTGTCAGTGGGAGGAATAGTGCCCCATCGTTGGTGTCAGTGGGAGGAATAGTGCCCCATCGTTGGTGTCAGTGGGAGGAATAGTGCCCCATCGTTGGTGTCAGTGGGAGGAATAGTGCCCCATCGTTGGTGTCAGTGGGAGGAATAGTGCCCCATCGTTGTGGTCAGTGGGAGGAATAGTGCCCCATCGTTGGTGTCAGTGGGAGGAATAGTGCCCCATCGTTGGTGTCAGTGGGAGGAATAGTGCCCCATCGTTGGTATCAGTGGGAGGAATAGTGCCCCATCGTTGGTGTCAGTGGGAGGAATAGTGCCCCATCGTTGGTGTCAGTGGGAGGAATAGTGCCCCATCGTTGGTGTCAGTGGGAGGAATAGTGCCCCATCGTTGGTGTCAGTGGGAGGAATAGTGCCCCATCGTTGGTGGTCAGTGGGAGGAATAGTGCCCCATCGTTGGTGTCAGTGGGAGGAATAGTGCCCCATCGTTGGTGTCAGTGGGAGGAATAGTGCCCCATCGTTGGTGTCAGTGGGAGGAATAGTGCCCCATCGTTGGTGTCAGTGGGAGGAATAGTGCCCCATCGTTGGTGTCAGTGGGAGGAATAGTGCCCCATCGTTGGTGTCAGTGGGAGGAATAGTGCCCCATCGTTGGTGTCAGTGGGAGGAATAGTGCCCCATCGTTGGTGTCAGTGGGAGGAATAGTGCCCCATCGTTGGTGTCAGTGGGAGGAATAGTGCCCCATCGTTGGTGTCAGTGGGAGGAATAGTGCCCCATCGTTGGTGTCAGTGGGAGGAATAGTGCCCCATCGTTGGTGTCAGTGGGAGGAATAGTGCCCCATCGTTGGTGTCAGTGGGGGAATAGTGCCCCATCGTTGGTGTCAGTGGGAGGAATAGTGCCCCATCGTTGGTATCAGTGGGAGGAATAGTGCCCCATCGTTGGTGTCAGTGGGAGGAATAGTGCCCCATCGTTGGAGTCAGTGGGAGGAATAGTGCCCCATCATTGGTGTCAGTGGGAGGAATAGTGCCCCATCATTGGTGTCAGTGGGAGGAATAGTGCCCCATCATTGGTGTCAGTGGGGAGGAGTAGTGCCCCATCATTGGTGTCAGTGGGGGGAGTAGTGCCCCATCATTGGTGGTCAGTGGAGGGAGTAGTGCTCCATCACTGGTGTCAGTGGGGGGAGTAGTGCCCCATCACTGGTGTCAGTGGGAGGAGTAGTGCTCCATCACTGGTGTCAGTGGGAGGAATAGTGAAACATCATTGGTGACAGTGGGAGGAATAGTGCCCCATCATTGGTGTCAGTGGGAGGAGTAGTGCCCCATCATTGGTGTCAGTGGGAGGAGTAGTGCCCCATCATTGGTGTCAGTGGGAGGAGTAGTGCCCCATCATTGGTGTCAGTGGGGGGAGTAGTGCCCCATCATTGGTGTCAGTGGGGGGAGTAGTGCTCCATCACTGGTGTCAGTGGGGGGAGTAGTGCCCCATCACTGGTGTCAGTGGGAGGAGTAGTGCTCCATCACTGGTGTCAGTGGGAGGAATAGTGCCCCATCATTGGTGTCAGTGGGGGGAGTAGTGCCCCATCATTGGTGTCAGTGGGGGGAGTAGTGCCCCATCATTGGTGTCAGTGGGAGGAAATAGTGCCCCATCACTGGTGTCAGTGGGGGGAGTAGTGCCCCATCACTGGTGTCAGTGGGAGGAATAGTGCCACATCATTGGTGTCAGTGGGAGGAATAGTGCCCCATCATTGATGTCAGTGTGGTGGAGGGGAGAATAGTGCCCCATCATTGGGGTCAGGGGGGGGGGGGAAATAGGGGGTCAAAAATAGTGCCCCATCGTTGGTGTCAGTGGGGGGAGGAATAGTGCCCCATCGTTGGTGTCAGTGGGGGGGGAATAGTGCCCCATCGTTGGTGTCAGTGGGGGGAGGAATAGTGCCCCATCGTTGGTGTCAGTGGGGGGAGGAATAGTGCCCCATCGTTGGTGTCAGTGGGGGGAGGAATAGTGCCCCATCGTTGGTGTCAGTGGGGGGAGGAATAGTGCCACATCGTTGGTGTCAGTGGGGGGAGGAATAGTGCCACATCGTTGGTGTCAGTGGGGGGAGGAATAGTGCCCCATCGTTGGTGTCAGTTGGGGGAGGAATAGTGCCCCATCGTTGGTGTCAGTGGGGGGAGGAATAGTGCCCCATCGTTGGTGTCAGTGGGGGGAGGAATAGTGCCCCATCGTTGGTGTCAGTGGGGGGAGGAATAGTGCCCCATCGTTGGTGTCAGTGGGGGGAGGAATAGTGCCCCATCGTTGGTGTCAGTGGGGGGAGGAATAGTGCCCCATCGTTGGTGTCAGTGGGGGGAGGAATAGTGCCCCATCGTTGGTGTCAGTGGGGGGAGGAATAGTGCCCCATCGTTGGTGTCAGTGGGGGGAGGAATAGTGCCCCATTGTTGGTATTAGTGACACAAATGATGGGGCACTATTCCTCCCACTGACACCAATGATACTTACTTTGCTGACCCCTGCTCCAGCCTGGGCTCGCTCTCTCACTTACCTGTCAGCTGTCTTCCTTCTCTGGCCGCTCTCCTCTTCACTCGATCCGGCAGCTTCCTCGGTCTTCTTTGATGTACGCGCGCTGCCGCTCGGCTCCTCCTCTCCAAGCTCCACCTCCTCGCCGGTGATTGGCCGCCTGTGTGCCTCTCCTGAGCTACAGTTCCGGTGGCCAATCAGCGGCGAGGAGGCGGAGCTGCTGAGCGATCCCGGAGGTGTGGCCAGGTGACAGCAGCGTATCATCCCGCCCACACATCGCCGGAGACTGCAGCGGTGTCTCGGTTCCTAAGACCATCGGAAATATGTGTTTTCCGATGGTCTTAGGCGACCCCTGGGAAATGGTCGTTCGACCCCCAAACGGGTCGCGACCCCCAGGTTGAGAACCGCTGCTCTAGTGATATAATGATCTATATAGAGGAATCAGGACCTCCTTCCTCCTACTGGTGATCCCTCTAGTGATATAAAGATCTATATAGAGGAATCGGGACCCTTCCTCCCTTCGGTGACCCTTCCATATAGAGGAATCAGGACCTTCCTCTGCCGTGACCCCTCTAGTGATATAAAGATCTATATAGAGGAATCAGGACCTTCTTCCTCCTGCCGGTGACCCCTCTAGTGATATAAAGATCTATATAGGGGAATCGGGACCTCTTTCCTCCTGCTGGTGACACCTCTAGTGATATAAAGATCTATATAGAGGAATCGGGACCTCCTTCCTCCTGACGGAGACCCCTCTAGTGAATTATCCTAGAATTATATTCGCTCTCCCCACTGCCTGGCCACACTTTTTTGCTCAATTCACAATTATCTGAAAAAGTACCCCTAAAATTATTTTCCTCTGTAGTGCTGGCCAACAATGTACCCCCAATGTTGTACTCAATGGATTCCTTTTCCCTGGGTGCATTATTTTACATTTAGAAACATTGAACTGCAATTTCCACTTTTTTGACCAATCTTCCAACAATGCCAACTCCGGTTCCATGTTACAGACACCTCCAGGGATATCCTCCCTATTACACACCTTTGTGTCATCAGCAAAGAGACATCCCCTTACCCAACAACCCTTTAGTTCTATCCCTTACATATAGAATAAATAGAACATGTCCCAGTACAGAACCTTGGGGTACACCACTAGTGACTGCTCTCTGTTCTGAGTGAACCCCATTTACAACCACTCTGGTATCTCTCCTTTAGCCAGCTGCACATCCACTGAACCACCCAAGGTCTAAGTCCTAGCTCGTCCAATGTTTGTATTAGATCGTTATGTGGACTGTATCACATGCCTTGCTGAAATCAAGATAAGCCGTGTCCACAGCACCACCCTGGTCCAAAACATTGGTAATATAGTCACATAATTCAGTCAGATGAGTCTGACATGATCTGCCCTTAGTAAAGCCATGTTGCTTTGGATCCAGCATGTTGTGTGTTTTTAGGTGATCAATGATCCTTCTTTTCAGAAGAGATTCCATTAACTTCACTACCACCGATGGTAAACTCACTGGCCTGTAATTGCCAGCTTCTACCTTGCTGCCCTTCTTGTGGATCGGTACATTAGCTGTCCACCAGTCATGAGGAACTTCTCCTGTTAGAAGTGATCGATTAAATAGATCATTTACTGGTCCAACAACCAGACCTCAAAGTTATCTGAGATCTCTGGGATGATCCATCAGGACCCATTGATTAATTAATCTTTAATGGAGCCAGTTCCTCTGCTGCCTCTGTCTCTGGAAATCCTAAAAATGAAACATCATTCTGATCTCCTTATGAACTGTTTCTTCCATGATGAAGATCAGCCATGGAGTATATCTGAGGTGTATATCAGGGTGTGCTTCTTCCCCACATGAGAGCTGGGATGTCCAGCAACATTCATCTAGAAGACATTTCCCGCACTCAAGGCACTAATACACCTCCAGGGTTGTGTGGGACCCCTGATGTACAGGAAGACAGGACTTCAGTGAGGAACATTTCCCTCACTCAGGACAGGAAAGTGGCTTCTCCCCCGTGTGAGATCTCTGATGTTTGGAAAGATGGACTTCCTGAAAAAACATTTCCCACACTCAGGACAGGAATACGGCTTTTCCCCCTGTGTGAGATCTGATGATGTGTGTAAAGATCTGATTTTCACTGAAAAACATTTTCCCGCACTCAGGACAGGAATACGGCTTCTCCCCTGTGTGAGATCTCTGATGTGTGTAAAAGATGGACTTTCTGAAAAAACATTTCCCGCACTCAGGACAGGAATACGGCTTCTCCCCCGTGTGTGAGATCTCTGATGTTTGTAAAGACTGGACTTCTTTCTGAAAAACATTTCCCACACTCAGGACAGGAATACGGGCTTCTCCCCCGTGTGAGATCTCTGATGTGTGTAAAGATTGGACTTCTGTGAAAAACATTTCCCCCACTCAGGACAGGAATATGGCTTCTCCCCCGTGTGAGATCTCTGATGTGTGTAAAGACTTTGACTTTTTTGAAAAACATTTTTCCCGCACTCAGAACAGGAATACGGCTTCTCCCCCGTGTGAGATCTCTGATGTCTGTAAAAGACTGGACTTCTGTGAAAAACATTTCCCACACTCAGGACAGGAATATGGCTTTTCCCCCCTGTGAGATCTCTGATGTGTGTAAAGATACTGATTTTTGTGAAAAACATTTCCCACACTCAGGACAGGAATATGGCTTTTCCCCCCACCCGTGTGAGATCTCTGATGTCTGTAAAGATGGACTTTACTGAAAAAACATTTCCCGCACTCAGGACAGGAATATGGCTTTTCTCCCCGTGTGAGATCTCTGATGTGTGAGATCTTTTTGTGCACTCAGGACAGGAATACGGCTTTTCCCCTGTGTGAGATCTTTTATGCACATTAAGACGTAATTTAAAATGAAACCCTTCCCGCACTCAGTACAGGAGAACCTCTTCCTGTTGGAAGGCCGGCCCGGTCCCGCACAGTCTGAGGTTCCTCAGGATACGAGGAATCCGATGGTCCATCTACACTGGGTGGTGCCGGATGGACATTGGAGGGAGCCGGGTTTTCTCCTGGACTATACTGTGTGATGTCCTCATCTTCTACTTTCCAGTCTGGAGACAAAGTGAGACAATCCTCGGAGGTTTTCCTCATCTCCCGGCCATGGACTAAAATACAAAGACAAAGAGGATTACTAGACAGGAGCTGATTGGTTCCCCCAAACCAGGACTCCGCCCACATCAGGCAGCTTGGTCTCTGAGGAGCTTACAATTCCACCCTCAAGGGAACTAGGAAATGGCTCCTCTGATCTCCTACCAGGTCATTTCTTTATTCATGGACCTTAGTCAGAGAGTGAGGAAACAACCAGAACTGTCTTTTATAGGAGGGACAGTGATGAGGGGATTATAGGACGAGGGTCCCCACCCCCTCTATCACTCATCGCCATCTTCCCAACACAAGAAGTACTGCACTTCCTTATTTAGTCCATGATTTAGTCATGAAGAACAGCGGGGCTGAGCCCCACCAGAGGTCAGAGAGTGAGGATGGGGGGAGAACAACCAAGATGAGACTGGACTGATCCTGAAGACCACCATCATTGGGGTATTGACTCCTCCCTCATTATCACTTTCTGTTTAAGGGTCCAAAGTTGGAGGATGTTATCAATATTTATTATCACCATGTAAAAGTCAGTGCTCCAATCAACCCATCCAGATAAAAATGTCCAGCTGGGAGGGTGGGGAAACAAAAGAGAATCCATATTATGTGTATAAGCTATAGCTCCCGATCCCCACCCAGGTGTGTTAGAAGTCCCACTGGGAATAAGTCAACACAGCTGAGGAAAGTGAAAGGTCTGAGGGGAGTGTCAGTCAAAAAATGGCCAGAGATGCTGAGTGCAGGTCTCAGGAATATACTGTAACTTTTTATACATGAGTATACATGTGCCTGTGTGTGTGTAGTATGTATGTGTGTACATGTGTGTGTGTGTGTGTACAGTGTGTGCATACATGTGTCTCAACATAAGTAATAGTATTCCCAGCGCTTACCTTTGTGCTACAGTTTGTTATGTTACAGCCATATGAGTAAATAGATCAAATTAATGCCTCAACATTCAAACAAAAGAATACCCCTGTGCTATGACAATGTGAAAGAAGTACTCATGGAGCTAAATCGTTGCAATGTATTAAAAAGGAACTCCTGCCTGCTATCCCATGTGCAAAAGAGTATTCCAAGCCTGCTCAATCCTTTGTGTGCCACCTTTAGCACTCAATGCCTGCCTAAGGGTTTGGAGTATGTGCTAACCAAGTACTCCTGCACATCCTATTGTTTGCAACGATTTCTCCTGCATTCTTCCCCTTGTGCCAACTAGTACTCCTGCAAGCTATCCATCAGGTGTGGAAGGAGTAGGATCCAGCCATTTTAGATCTCTCAAGTGTTCAATCGGGTACTCAAGTCTGGGCTCCGCTGGTGCCAACCAGGACATTCACAGAGCTATGGCCTGTAGCCAACTACCTGTACAGCTGTTATGTGGGCTGTGTGCTTAGGAGTAGTTGTCCTGCTGATCCGAATGTGTGCCAATGAGTACTCCAGAGTCTGCTAAGCTGTGTGCCAACGAGTACTCTGGCAGGAATGCTATCCGATTGGATATGCAAGTATATTGCTGCATCCACTTGTTTGATGAAGTCTCCCCTGCTATCTCCCTGTGTCCAACTGAAAACCATCCCCCAGCATGATGCCCAATGAGTACCACATGATGCTATCCGCTGTAGGGCCAATGGTATTGGCCCTGTGAGCTGTCTGGTGTTGCCTCCAGAGTATAACGCTTGGCATTCATGCCAAAGAGTGTCGATCTTTGTTTCATCAGACCAGAGAGTTTTGTTTTCATGGTCACTCCTGTCCTGCTATCCGCTGAGTGCCAACGGCAGTACTCCTGCCTGCTATCCGGTGCCATGGGTCAATGTAGTTTACTGAGGAGTGGCTATCCGTCTGTCCAATGACTAGGGTACCATACAGGCCTGATATCCGTGGAGTGCTGCAGAGATGAGTACACTTCTGGAAGGTGCTATCCGCTGTGTGCCACACTAGAGTAATGCCTGGAGCTGCTATCCAGAGTGACCATCGGGTACTCCTGGCTAGGATCCCTGGCTAAGGCCCTTGAACACTCCTTGCCTGCATTTTGCCGCTGTGTGCCCCTCTGGAATATAGGCCTGGGTGGGAGTATGGATAGGTGCCAGGAGTCCCTGGTGGTGCCAAACTTTCCATTTACAGATGATGTGGCCACTGTGCTCATTGGGACCTATCAATGCTGTGCCAAGAAATGTTTCTGTGATACATCCCTTCCCCAGATCTGTGTGACAACGATACAATCCTGTCTGGAGGTCTACGGACAATGTCCAATGAGACTTCATGGCTTGGTTAGTGCTGTGTGACATGCACTGTTACCTGTGGGACCTATCCGCTCTGAGACAGGTTTATGCTCCTAGTGGAATCCGCCAATGTGCCCTGAATGTCCCCCTAGGTGGTGACCAATGGGCAGTTCCTGGAAACATCCAAGGATGATGTGGGAACAGAGTACTCCCAGCCTGCTATCCGCTGAGTGTGCCATGAGCAAAGGCTGGGAATCCGCTGTGTGCCAATGGGGTACTTTGCTATTTTTAATAAAATGCAAAGAATTCAGAACAAACTGCTATTTCACGTTGTGCCATTATGGAGTGGGAAGTTGCCTGTATCCTAGTTTGTGTGCCAGAGGTACAACATGAATGGAATCCATTTGGAATGGCCGTATGACATAACAAAATGTGTACAAAATGTGAAAGTGAAGTGAAGCTGGGAATACTTCCTGCCTGCACTGTATGTGTGCCAATGTAGTTATGTGTGTGCGTGTACATGTGTGTGTGTGTGACATGTGATGCTGTGTGTGCCAAGTGTGTGTATGTGTGTGTATATGTGTGTGTGTGTACATACTGCCATTGTGTGTGTGTACATGTGTGTGTGATGTATGTGTGTGTCCATGTGTAACATGTATACATGTGTGTTTCCTGTGTGTGTGTGAACTGTGCATGTTGTACATGTGACTGTGTGCCTAATGTGTACTGCCTGTATATGTGTGTTGTGTATATGAGTACTTGCCAGTATGTGTGTGTACATGTGTTTGAATGTTACTCCTGGTGATATATATTCCTACTTGTGACCCCTATGAACTCCTGGACCTATCCTGTCCTATCAGGACTGCCCCATTGGACACTTCATAACAGCAGCAAGGACTGCTGCTGCCATCTGAGTACTCAATCCATGCTCAGATCCTGTTGGAGAGGCATTTGACAGGTGGTACCTTCATGGAAACCTGAATTGCCTCATTGAACACTCAGGTGCCTGGCTTAACCCCGTGAAAAGCAGCATGCATCAATCAAACACCCTGGTCACCACAACTGTATGCAAAGCACACATGGTGGATGTGGAGTGGTTGTAGTTCAACCCCATTCTCCTGGAGGTATACTTCCAGCCTCAGCAACAGCAAGTGTATACCCCCAGCTGCTGTTTCTGCAGCTAATACTTCAGGGGACCAGTTGGGGGGTGGGTAAAAGCAGCTCAGTTGGACTGGGATAAATTTTATCAGCCCTCCAACCTCACTAGAACAGGGCCCTTGGTTCACATCTGTTTGGCTGTGTGTAGGACAGCCCATTCATTTCAATGGGCTGCCCGACCCATGTAGTAACATGGAAGTAGGTGGGTGAAATGTCCTTCCTCATAGCTCCTTAGTTTTGTCAGTACCACACAAAAACACACTACCTTTTCCAAAGATGTATGGGGTAATCCTAAAGAGCAGAGCATTTGTCTGCATAGTGTCAGGTATATGAGCGATTTACACGTATTCTGCACACACAGTAATAAACCAAGCCTTGGACAGGGGTACCTCAAGTGGGGATTACTATGGAATATACAACACAGAGTATACTACTGTGTATATATTATCAGTTACATAATTGTACAATACAGAGTATATAGTGCAGGGGTCAGGAGTATGTAATGTACAACATAGAGTATATAGTGCAGGGGTCAGGAGTATGTAATGTACAACAACAGAGTATATAGTGCAGGGGTCAGGAGTATGTGAATGTACAACATAGAGTATATAGTGCAGGGGTCAGGAGTATGTAATGTACAACATAGAGTATATAGTGCAGGGGTCAGGAGTATGTAATGTACAACATAGATATATATATATAGTGCAGGGGTCAGGAGTATGTAATGTACAACATCCGAGTATATAGTGCAGGGGTCAGGAGTATGTAATGTACAACATAGAGTATATAGTGCAGGGGTCAGGAGTATGTAATGTACAACATAGAGTATATAGTGCAGGGGTCAGGAGTATGTAATGTACAACATAGAGTATATAGTGCAGGGGTCAGGAGTATGTAATGTACAACATAGAGTATATAGTGCAGGGGTCAGGAGTATGTAATGTACAACATAGAGTATATAGTGCGGGGTCAGGAGTATGTAATGTACAACATAGAGTATATAGTGCAGGGGTCAGGAGTATGTAATGTACAATATAAATTATACAGTGTAAGGGTCAGGACTCATAATTTGGTATTCAGTAATCAGTGGAAGCTTAAATGTTTACTGTAGACAAGTTGCAGAGATCCCACACCGCTGCCTCCCATCTCCATCTCCTGAGACTGCACTCAGTGACTTGGGTCTGAGACACTACAGACATATCCCTCCACCCGGCACAGCCAGCAGACCACAGAGCAAGGAACCCTGGGAGAATTGTTCTGTCAGAGATCTTACTAGACCCGGGAATGGGGAAGAATACCAAATCACACACCCAGGTGTCTAGGTCTAGTAACACTATATGGTGAAAATCAACATTTTGCTGCCAGCTGAACCCCAGAACCTCCATAAATCCAGTCTAGATACATAAATTGTGTCTGCAGCACAGAGAAGGAAGATTATCCGAGAGAAATCCAGGAATACAGGACGGGGAACACAGCTCAGGAAAGTGACCAGGGGATTACAGGCTGATATCACCCAGTCCCCGCCCTACTCTGGACCAATCAGTGAGCAGTATGGGTGGAGGAATGGATTTAGTGTTCATGACCCACCTGTGCTGATCTCTGTAGGAGTGTCCTCCTCTATAAATGTCCCCGTTATTCCATCCTCCTCCATAGACTGCTGATCATCCCTCACATACGCCTCTTCTTCTTCTGCTTTCACCTCAACTTTTATATCTATCAGATCTTCACCCTAAATCAAGAAATGAGATAGAAAATAACATCTGTAAAATATAAGCTTGAATATTGTAACATCACCCCAAAAATCCACACATTTCTCTCAAGTCCATGTTCTAGATGCTCCATCCCACCAACCTTGTAATGGTGAGGGATGGTGTGACCTTCCTGTGTGGAATCCCGGGAATACAGAGGACGGGGACATCTCTCTGGTGGGTTCCTGGTATTAGGTGGCTCCATCATATCCTTGTGTCCTTCTGAAATCCTCCATCACTCCATACTCCTCATCCTCCTCTTTTATACTCTTCTTTAACATCAATTTAGGATCTCTCCGAGGTTTCCACTCTGAATATATAATAAAAATGACATCAATGGTAACAATGCAGATAATGTACAGATCTAATGATACTATAAATCACAACTACCAATGATGGTGAGGGATGGTGTCATCATCTACCTGATGATGGTGATGGGAGGGATGGTGTGACCTTCCTGTGTGGAATCCCGGGATACAGAGGACGGGGACATCTCTCTGGTGGGTTCCCATGACTGGATCCATCTGTAGGAAACACACACACTGACTGAATCCATTGTTTCTATGTGTTTATCAGATGATGGGGGATCTAGGTGGATCCTCCGTACTGCTCTCTCCTTTACAATAAAGTCTCCTCTTACCCGGTGATGTGAGAGGGCGGCTGATTGTCCATCATGACGTCCTTGTAGAGATCCTTGTGTCCTTCTAAATACTCCCACTCCTCCATGGAGAAATAGACAGTGACACCCTGACACCTTATAGGAACCTGACACACACAATGATACAGTCACCATCCAGACACATCCCTTGTCTGTTACTGGAGAATGTCCCAGAATTCCCGGCACCGCTCACCTCTCCTGTCAGCAGCTCCATCATCTTCTTGGTGTCATGTGACCTCCCAGAATCCTCCTCACCTCTCCGGTCAGGTCTGTGTTTTATTAATAGAGATGAGAGTGATGTCATGAGACCTCCCAGAATCCTCCTCACCTCTCCGGTCAGGTCTGTGTTTTATTAATAGAGATAAGAGTGATGTCATGTGACCTCCCAGAATCCTCCTCCTCCTCTCCGGTCAGCAGGTAGATGATCTCCAGGGTGAGGTTTAGTATCCTCTCAGGCATATGACTCTGGTCCTCTTCCATCTTAATAGATATGGCCATGTGATCCATGCAGGTTTCCCTGTAGACAGAGAATTATCTGTACTATATTGTAGAATATTAGGACAGGAATTTAAGGGGTTATTAGGCAAGCTGCCCTCAGTGGGAACTGGCACATGTGTAGGAACCTGCTTCCCTCTGATGTCATATTTGTAAATATCTGTTGCTTGGTAAATATCATATAGATTATTAGTTATAGACAGGTACTTCCTGTCCCTGCTAGAGGGATCAGAAACCCCAGATTGGAGGACTATGGTATCTCATAAAGGGGAATTTCCAGGAAGAAGACACAAAATTGGACCACAAAAAACGTTCCTTGGAACATCTGTGTCTACTGCATTTCATCCCAACCAGAAGCAGGGACTAGTAGGCAAGTGTTCCTTTGTTCTAATAGTTTGACTGTAGCGGCTTCTGTGTGTATCTGAAGTCTGGTGACATAAGTGTCTCTGTCCTATTGTTATTATCTCACATGCACAGTGCCAGATAGCCAGGTCTGTGCTACTATATGTGTATTAGTCACATTGTAGTATATTATTAGGTGAACCTCTTTATTTAACCGTCTCCTGCCGGCCATATAAGGAAATGACGGGCGCAAGGCGGTTTTCTCATTCTAGGAGGACGTCATATGACGTCTTCCCACTGTAATCGTGTGCGCGTTCCCCCGGGGGGTGTGCAGCATGGCGATCGGTGGTAGGCTGTGTCCCTTGGACACAGCAGATCACCGATCAATGGAAAGAGCCAATGACATTGGCTCTGTCATGTGATCAGCTGCGTCCAATCACAGCTGATCACATGTAAATAAGGAAATGCTGGTTATCGCCATTCCTCTCCTCACGAGCTGTCACGCTGGCAGCTCATGAGGAGAGCCAGTAATCGGCATTCCTCAGAGGGGACATGAGCACTGATGATCAGTGTGCCCTGATGATCAGTGTAGCCCCATCAGTGCCACCTGTCACTGCCTATCGATGCCACCTGTCAGTGCCCATCAATACCACCTGCCAGTGCCCATCAGTGCACATCAATGCCACATATCAGTGCCTACTAGTGCACATCAATGCCACATATCAGTGCCCATCTGAGCTGCCTTTCAGTGCCACCTATCATTGTCAGTCAGTGCCGTCGCCTATCAGTGCCAGTCAATGCCGCTTTTCATTGCCCGTCAGTGCCGCCTAACAGTGCCACACAACAGTGCCAGTCAGTGCCATATATTAGTGCTGTCTTTCAGTGCCACCAGTGATGCCTGTCAATGCCCATCAGTGCCACCTACCAGTGCCTCCTCATCAGTGCTGCCTATCAGTGCCGCCTATCAGTGCCCATCACTGCAGCCTCATTAACGTACATCAGTGAAGGAGAAAAAATCACTTGTTTACAAAATTTTATAACAAACTAAGAAAAAACTTTTTTTTTTTTTTTCAAAATTTTCAGTTTTTGGTTTATTTAGCAAAAAAATAAAAAAAACCCCAGGTGATTAAATACCACCAAAAGAAATCTCTATCTGTCTCAAAAATGATAAAAATGTCATATGGGTACAGTGTTGCGTGACCGCGCAATTGTCATTCAAAGTGAGACAGCACTGAAAGCTGAAAATTGGCCTGGGCAGGAAGGGGGTGAAAGTGCCCGGTAGGCAAGTGGTTAAATAGAGGTTCTATGAAGCTCCTGGTAGCTTAGATAACAGCTGTTCCTTCTGGTCTGGGATTCCACAGCTAGCTTTAGTTCAGGGCTCAGTAAACAGAATAGGGTAGAGCCAGATTAGGCATTTGATGGCCCATAGGTAGGTAGAGGTTTGACTGAATGGCAAATTAGAAGCTGTTCGGGACTGAGAAGCACACACATGGCCATGAAGCCCACACATGGCCATGAAACAGCTTTTGGTTCAATTGTCCAATTTCTTTTGGTCCCTCAAAAAAGGGGGATGGCTACTCTTAAGAGCTGTAATTCCTAAACCCTTCCTCCAATTTGGATATATATGCCCTCAAATTACACCTGAGAGTGTGCACTTTCAGCCCATATCCATTATAGAACTATAGCTTGAATACGTTTTGGTAAATACCTGAGTGTGTGTGAGTGTTACTGATTTTGTTTTTTTACCATACAATGTTGTATTATTTCTATACTTAGGAGTATCTATTTTCTTTTGATTGTTATATACTGGGTGCAGTAGTCCCCCTCCTCACAATAATTTTCCTTGGATTAATGGTTAATTTAATGTTGTTATCTCCTTTATTTAGGGGTGGAAGGAGAGCTCTGTACTAGAGGCGTGGTTTGGGTAGAATTTAGGGTAGAGTTCATTTTTGGTTGTAAACTGACCTGTGAGATATGCATTCCTGAACCCTGCATCCTCTTCATAACAAACTCCTGAACTCTGCATCCGGTGCGTAATGCACTTCTGAACCCTACACCCTGTGCCTAATGCACTCCTGAATGCTAAACCCTGTGCGTAATGCACTCCTGAACCCTGCACCCTGTGTGTAATGCACTCCTGAAACCTGCACCCTGTGCGTAATGCACTTCTGAACCCTACACCCTGTGCGTAATGCACTCCTGAACTCTGCACCCTGTGCCTAATGCACTCCTGAACCCTGCACCCTGTGCGTAATGCACTTCTGAACCCTGCACCCTGTGTGTAATGCACTCCTGAACCCTGCACCCTGTGCGTAATGCACTCCTGAACCCTGCACCCTGTGCGTAATGCACTTCTGAACCCTGCACCCTGTGCGTAATGCACTCCTGAACCCTGCATCCTGTGCGTAATGCACTCCTGAACCCTGTACCCTGTGCGTAATGCACTCCTGAACCCTGCACCCTGTGCGTAATGCACTTCTGAACCCTACACCCTGTGCGTAATGCACTCCTGAACTCTGCACCCTGTGAGTAATGCACTCCTGAACTCTGCACCCTGTGCGTAATGCACTCGTGACCCTGCACCCTGTGCCTAATGCACTCCTGAACTCTGCACCCTGTGCGTAATGCACTCCTGAACTCTGCACCTTGTGCGTAAATGCACTCCTGAACCCTGTACCCTGTGCGTAATGCACTTCTGAACCCTACACCCTGTGCGTAATGCACTCCTGAACTCTGCACCCTGTGCGTAATGCACTCCTGAACCCTGCACCCTGTGCGTAATGCACTCGTGAACCCTGCACCCTGTGCCTAATGCACTCCTGAACTCTGCACCCTGTGCCTAATGCACTCCTGAACCCTGCACCCTGTGTGTAATGCACTCCTGAACCCTGCACCCTGTGCGTAATGCACTCCTGAACCCTGCACCCTGTGCGTAATGCACTCGTGAACCCTGCACCCTGTGCCTAATGCACTCCTGAACTCTGCACCCTGTGCCTAATGCACTCCTGAACCCTGCACCCTGTGTGTAATGCACTCCTGAACTCTGCACCCTGTGCGTAATGCACTTCTGAACCCTACACCCTGTGTGTAATGCACTCCTGAACTCTGCACCCTGTGCGTAATGCACTCCTGAACTCTGCACCCTGTGCGTAATGCACTCCTGAACTCTGCACCTTGTGCGTAATGCACTCCTGAACCCTGTACCCTGTGCGTAATGCACTCCTGAACCCTGCACCCTGTGCGTAATGCACTCCTGAACCCTACACCCTGTGCGTAATGCACTCCTGAACCCTGCACCCTGTGCGTAATGCACTCGTGAACCCTGCACCCTGTGCCTAATGCACTCCTGAACTCTGCACCTTGTGCGTAATGCACTCCTGAACCCTGTACCCTGTGCGTAATGCACTCCTGAACCCTGCACCCTGTGCGTAATGCACTTCTGAACCCTACACCCTGTGTGTAATGCACTCCTGAACCCTGCACCCTGTGCGTAATGCACTCGTGAACCCTGCACCCTGTGCCTAATGCACTCCTGAACTCTGCACCCTGTGCCTAATGCACTCCTGAAAGCTATACCCTGTGCGTAATGCACTCCTGAACCCTGCACCCTGTGCGTAATGCACTCCTGAACCCTGTGCGTAATGCACTCCTGAACCCTGTGCGTAATGCACTCCTGAACCCTGCACTTTGTGCGTAATGCACTGCTGAACCCTGCACCCTGTGCGTAATGCACTGCTGAACTCTGCACCCTGTGCGTAATGCACTGCTGAACTCTGCACCCTGTGCGTAAGACACTCCTGAACTGTACCACTCCTGGATTTAACATTTCCCCTTTAAGATCCACTTATGACATTTTGCCAACACCCACAATTTGACACAGAATACATAATGTGTCACGTTGATACCCATGAATGGGGGTAGTGTGAGTTCCTACACTTATTCTCTGACGAAAAAAAGCCCTGGGTATGATCAGGGCAGCCATCAAAACATTTGGGGCCCCATTCACAGCTTTAGGCCTGACCACCAACATTTTCCAGCTGTCCCACAAAGTCCTTCAGTACACCCACTTTTACTTTGACACTCTTACAACCTAATATGAAAATGAAAAGTGTATTTTAAGCTATTCAAGATTTAACAGTAAGGATATAAATTTTGGTCAAAGATCAGAAAAGGGAGAGCCACATATATTCAGCAAAGAGACATTGCCATATATTTAGCAAAGAGATGTCCCAATCCAGCAAAGAGACAGCTCCATATATTCAGCAAAGAGATGTCCCGAAATATTCAGCAAAGAGATGGCCCAATCCAGTAAAGAGATGTCCCCATATATTCAGCAAAGAGACAGCACCATATATTCAGAAAAGAGATGGCCCAATCCAGTATAGAGACGTCCCCATATATTCAGCAAAGAGAGGGCCCCAATCCAGCAAAGAGAAATCCTAATATATTTAGAAAAGAGATGGCCCAATCCAGCAAAGAGAAATCCCAATATATTCAGCAAAGAAATGGCCCTATCCAGCAAAGAGACATCCCCAAATATTCAGCAAAGAGATGGCTCAGTCCAGCAAAGAGACATCCCCACATATTCAGCAAAGAGACAGCCTCATATATTCAGCAAAGAGATGGCCCAATACAGTAAAGAAACATACCCATATATTCAGCAAAGAGAAAGTCTCATATATTCAGCAAAGAGATGGCCCAATCCAGTAAAGAGACATCACCATATATTCAGCAAGAGACAACCCAATCCAACAGACATCCCCATCCAACAAAGAGACAGGTACAGCACAGGCCAACATCCAGCAACATTGTCAATCAATTTACCATTGTGATTTTAACAACTTGTCTCCAGACCAGTCCACAGTGAGCACTGAGCAGTCCTGCAGGCGACACGCAGTGCAGCTCTTCCGCATGGCTGAGCTGCGATTGGCGTGGCACCCAAGCCAGAATCCGGTCTGCAGGGAGAGGTGGGGTGCAGATGATAACACTCCACATTCTGCCTGCAGCTGGAATTAACTGAGCTGCATAGGCTCTGTTAGGGATCCGGGTATGACCAGAAATGTGTGGGAACACAGGCGTAGTCAGGGCTGGAGAGGTGGAATGGTCAGGCAGGCCATTAGGTACTGTACAGGGCGCGGGATCTAAGTGCCAATCTGCTTATTCACCAGGGCCCCTGATGGTGGTGATGGACTTGGAGCAGACTGAGACCAGGTCGCGACCCCTGAGTATGTCCGGCAACGGTAAAGAGCGTCGTCAGAGGTGTGCGGGGAAAGGAGCCTGACGTGAAGAGGCTGGCAGACCTGGTAACAGGGACAGATCCGTGCGGGATGGATCGTCTGGGTAGCGTCAGGCGTAGTCAGGTAGACCAGGTCAGCAACGTGCGGGCAGTGAGGTACCGGAGGAGCAGGCAGAGAATAGTCAGAGTCACAAGCCGGGTTCAGTAACTCACGGGCAGCGCGGTACTGAGGATCAGGCAGAAGGATGGTCAGGGTCACAAGCCGGGTTCAGTAACTCACGGACAGCACAGTACAGAGGATCAGGCAGAAGGATGGTCAGGCAAGCCAGGGGTTAAACAGGAGATGGTCAGCAGACGTCAGGATCAAAGCAGGGTCAGCAGATAGGCAGGAACACAGGATACCAAGTACAGGGGGCTCATGGGAAACAATACACCAAGGCCCTGACTGCAGGTCTGGCCATTCCTTAAATGCACCTCCTGCAATCAGCCTCAGGTGATAGCTGATTGCAGGAGTGAGCTTCTGGTTGCTGAGAGCACCTGCTGGCCATCCCTG